GTGGGGCGTTTGGATTTGGGGGTTCCCTGCCAGCCTCGTCTATTCCCTCTGGGAGGGAAGACGGGCAGGGCTCTCTCCGCTCTCCCCTCCATCTCTGCACATCCAGGCCCACTCTGCGCTCCCCGCTCTCCCGGAAAGTGGAAGCAAGCATCTGAGTAGGGAAGACCCGGTCCCCAGACGCCGCCATAAAGTGAGAAAGTCATTCAGCCGAAGAGCCCGAAAGCCAAATCGGTCCACTGGCGGAGGGGCTGAGCTGGGGAGTGGGGAAGCCGGGAGGGAAAGTGCAGGCCTCTCAGGTTCAGCTCCCGCTGCAAAGACGGAGCCTTTCACATCAGCTGGAAATCTCTACTCTCTCCCTCCCCGCACCCCCAGCCATTTTTTAATGTAACAGTTCTATTGAGCTGTAATTCACATACCATAAAATTCATAAGCTTTTAGCATATCCAGAGTTTAGCATATACAGCTATCACCACTAATTTTAGAGCATTTTCATCAACCCAAAGATACCCAAATCCATTAGCAGTCACTCCTCATTCCTCCTTCCCCCTGGCAACAAATTTTTTTTTCAATTTCTATGAATTTACCTATTCTGGACATTTCATAAAACTAGAATCAAAGAAAATATAATGTTTTCTTTGGGGCTGGCTTTGTTCACATAACATAATGTTTCAAGGTTCACCTCCATTATAATATGTATCAGTACTTCACTCCTTTTTATAACTGAATGGTATTTCATTGGATGAATATACATTTTGCTTATTCATTCATCAGTTGAAGGACATTCTGGATGTTTCCACTTTTTGGCTATTATGAATAGGAACATTTGAGTGCAAGTTTCTGACGAACATATGTTTTCAATTCTCTTGCACATACTAGTAAACCTAGAAGTGGAATTGTGGAGTCATAGAGTAACTCATGTGTTTAACATTGTGAAAAATTGCCAAACTCTTTTTCATGGTTTTCAGAATTTTACAATCCCACCAGCAATGAGGGCTCCAGTTTTCTCCACATCCTCAACAACAGTTCTTAGCGTGTGTCTTCTTATTTTAGCCATCCCCGTGATCGGGAAGTGGTATCTCACTGTGGTTTTGATTTGTTTCCCTAATGCCTAATGACACTGAGCACCTTTGCATGAGCTTACTGACCATTTCTTCTTTGCAGAAATCGCTATTCAAATCCTTGCCCATTTTTTAATGGGTTATTTGTCTTTTTCTTGTTGAGTTGTAAGAATTCTTTATATATTCTGAATACAAATACCTTATCAAATATATTTTCTCCCAATCCATGAGTTGTCTTTTCATTTTCTTGATGGACTCCTTCATGCATAAAAGTTTTTATTATTTAGATAAAGTCCAATTTATTTTTTCTTTTGTCACTTGAGCTTTTGGTGTCATATCTCAGAAACTACTGCCTAATTCAAACCTTATGAGGATTTACACCTACAGTTTCTTCAAGGTCGTACATTTAGGTCTATGATCCAATTTGAGTGATGTTTTGTATATGATGTGAAGTAGGGGTCAAAATTCATTCTTTTGGATGTGGATATTTAATTGTTCCAGCACCAATTGGTGAAAAGATTATTCTTTTCCCTTTGAATTGTTTTGGCATCTTTGTCGATAAGTGTAAGATTGTATTTCTGGATTTTCAATTCTATTCTATTAATCTATGTCTAGACTTACACCAGTAAGTCTATGCCCTGACTACTGCATTTTGTAGTAAACATTGGAATCAAGAAATGCAAGTCCTCCAATGTAATGGACTGAATTGTGTCCCCCCCCCAAATTCATATGTTGAAGCCTTAACTCCCAATGTGATGGTATTTGGAGATGGGGCCTTTGGGAGATGATCAGGTTTAGATGAGGTGAAGAGAGTAGGGCTTCATGACGGGATTAGCGCTGTATTTAAAAAGAGACCACAGATTTGTTCTCTCCCTCTCTCTCTTTCCCCATGTCAAGTGACAGGGAGAAGGGAGCCATGTGTAAGTCAGAAAGCGTTCTCACCAGAACCCAACCATACAAGCATCCTGGCCTCAGACTTCCAGACTCCAGAATTATCCTATACTAATAAAAGACAAACATGCAAATTGATCGTACTTTCGCTATGCCTTAAGCCATGCCCACCAGCCAATCAGAGCGACTATATGCAAATTAATCCAACCAAGATGGCGACCGGCAGCCACGGAGCTGGAGCAAGCAGGAGGCTTGCTTGCTCCAGTGATGGAGGAAGCCAAGGTTCCCCGCCTGCCACAGCCCGGCTCTGAGCTCCACTGAAAGCAACAAAGTTTCAATTATAGAAGGTAAATAAATCCCAGATACCTGCTTTCAGCCAGCCGTGGCCATGGAGCTGGAGCAAGCAGGAGCTGGCTCTGAGCTCCACTGAAAGCAACAAAGTTTCAATTATAGAAGATAAACAAACCCCAGATACCTGCTTTCAGCCAGCCATGGCCACGGAGCTAGAGCGAGCAGGAGTGGGTTGCCCCCGGCGATGGAGGAAGCCAAGCTTTCCGCAGGCCTCCACTAAAGGCAACAAAGCTTCAATTACAGAAGATAAATAAATCCCAGAATAAAAAAAGAAAAAGAAAAAAAGGAGAGGCTGGGAGATTCCGTCGCCAGGGTGCTTGGCCAGCCTGAAAACAGCTCTCAGCCCCTCACCCAGACTGGCCAGGCACCCCAGTGGGGATCCCCCACCCTAAAGGGGGTGTGGCCAGCCTGCAAACAGCCATCAGCCCCTCACCCAGGCTGGCCAAACCTCCATGGGGTGAGGGTCCCCACTGGGGTGGACATCCTCCGAGGGGTCCCACACTGCAAGAGGGCATAGGCCGGGCTGAGGGACCCCCCGAGTGCACACATTTTTGTGCACTGGGCCTCTAGTGAGAATATAAATTTCTGATGTTTAAGCCATCCAGTCCACGGCATTTTGTTATGGCAGCCTGAGCTGACTAAGGCAGAGGTCATAAGGGTGAGGCCCAAGTGTCATAGGACTGGCATTGATATAAAAAGAGGAAGAGAAACTGAGAGTGTGGGTGAACAGAGAAAAAGCCATGTGAGGACATAGTGTGAAGGCTGCAAGCTAATGAGAGAGGTCACACCAGAAATTCACCCTGCTGGCACCATAGTCTTGGTCTTCTAGCTTCCAGAGCTGTGAAAAGATAAACTTCTGTTGTTTAAAGCACTCAGTCAAGTCTGTGGTATTTTGTTGTGGCAGCCCTAACAGACTAATTCATCTAACTTTATTCTTCTTTGCACAATGGTTTTTAGCTATTTTGGATACCTTGCATTTCCATATGAATTTTAGGCTCCACTTGTCAATTTCTACAAAAATGCCAGTTGGGATTTTGATAGGGATTGCACTGAATCTGCACATCAATTGGAGGCTCGGGAGTATTGCTATCTTAATAATATTAAGTCTCTTATCCAAGAGATTCTTTTCATTTACTTGTCTTCTTTAATTTCTTCCAACAGTGTTTATTAGCTTTCAGTAACCATGTCTTATAGTTCTTTTCTTAAAGTTATTCCCAAGTATTTTATTCTTTTTGATGTTATTGTAAATAAACTGGGGTGGGGTTTTTGTTTTTTGTTTTTTGTTTTTTTGGATTGTTCATTGTGAGCATACAGAAATATAATTGTTTTTTGTGTTTTGATAATGTATCCTGAAACCTTGCTGAACCTACTAGTTCTAATAGGTATATATTGGCTTCCTTAGAAATATATATATGTCATCTGACAAATGGAGATAGTTTTATTTCTTCATTTTTTTAATCTGGATGTGTTTTACCTTTATTTTTCTCCCCTAATTTCCCTGGCTAGAACCTTCAATACAATGTTGGCTAGAAAGGACATCCTTGTCTTATTCCTGACCTTAGGAAGAAAGCATTAGCCTTTCACCATTAAATATATCAGCTGTTAGCTATTTCAGGTCAAAGAAATTCCCTGCTAATCCTAGTTTGTTTTGTTTTTCATCAGGAAAGAATGTTGTCAAATACTTATTCTGTATTGATTGAGATGATTTTTGTTTTGTTTTTTAAAATATTCTTATTAATGTCAGAGAGGAAGGGTGAGAGAGAGATGGGAACATCAGTGAGAGAGAATCATTGATTGGCTGCCTCCTGCAGGCCCCACCCTGGGGATTGAGTCCACAACTCAAGCATGTGCCCTGACTGGGAATCGAACCGTGCGCTTCTGGTTCCTAGGCTGATGCTCAACCATTGAGCCATGCCAGCCGGGCATGTCCTCTATTCTACTAATATAGTGTATTACATTGATTGATTTTCATATGTTGAATAAACCTTGTACAAATCTCATTTAGTTCTAGAATATAATCTTTACTGATGTTGCTGGATTTTGTTTGCTAACATTTTGTTGAAGATTTTTGTTTCTATATTCATAGACATAATGAACATAAACACCATAGTTTTCTTGTGATATTATTGGTATGATTTTGATATTCAAGGTAATACTGGACTCAGAGTGGGTTGGTAAGTGTTCCCTCCTCTTATATTTTTGGAATACTTTGTGAAGGATTGGTGTCTATTCTACTGTAAACATTTTGCAGAATTCACCAATGAAGCTATCTGGGTCTGGGTTTTTCTCTGTGGGTAGATTTTTTATTATTAATTCAGTCTCTTTCCTGCTATCAGTCTATTCAGATTTTCTATTTCTACTTGAGTCAGTTTCAATAGTTTGTGACTTTCTAGGTTTTTGTCCATTTAATTTAACTAATTTGTTGGTCAATTTAGCTAAAGTTTTGTCCATTTTGTTGATCTTTTCAAATAAAGAACTTTAGGTTCTGTTGATTCTATCTTTCTATTCTCTATTTCATTCATTTTTCTATTCTCTAATTCATTCATTTCTGTTCCAATCTTTGTCATCTCTTTGCTTCCATTTTGAGAGAGAGAGGAGAGAGAGAGAGAGAGAGAGAGAGAGAGAGAGAGAGAGAGAGAGAAACATAATTTGCTGCCTCCCACACACACCAAGAATGGAACCCGTCACCTTTTGGCCTACCTGACAACGCTCCAATAACTGAACCATACCAGCCAGGGCTCCTTTTTCTTTCTTAAGGTGGAAAGTTAGGCTATTAATTTGAGATCATTCTTCTTTTTTAATATAGGGGGAGTTTAAATTTTTAAATTGATTTTAGAGAGAGAGGAAGGGGAGAAAGAGAGACATTGATTCATTGCTCCACCTATCCATGAATTCATTGGTTGCTTCCTTTATGTGCCCTGACCAGGGATCAAGCCCAAAACCTTGGCATACTGGGAAAATGCTCTAACCAAACGAGCTACCCAGCCAGGGCTTAATATAGGTGTTTACAGTTATAAATCCCCATCTAAGCACTGCTTTAGCTGTATCTCATAAATTTTGGTATGTGTGTTTTTGTTTTCATTTAACTCAAAGTATTTTCTAATTTTCCCTTCTTTCACCCATTGTTATTTAGGAGTGTTCTGTTTAATATCTACTTTTTGTGAATTCCCCAAATTTTCTTCTGTTACTGATTTCTAATTTCATTCCTTCGTGGTCAGAGAGCACATTTTATATTATTTTAATACGTTTGACTATATTAAAGCTTGCTTTATGATCTAGCATATGGTCTGTTCTGGAGAATGTTCCATGTATACTTGAGAAGGATGTGTATTCTGAGTGGAGTGTCCCATAGATATCTTTTTATTAGTTCTAGTTAGCTTACAATTTTGTTCGAGTCTTCTATTTCCTTTTTTTTTAATATATTTTATTGATTTTTTTACCGAGAGGAAGGGAGAGGGACAGAGAGATAGAAACATCAATGAGAGAGAAACACCGATCAGCTGCCTCCTGCACACCTCCCACTGTGGATGTGCCCGCAACCAAGGTACATGCCCCTGACCGGAATCGAACCTGGGACCCTTCAGTCCGCAGGCCGGCGCTCTATCCACTGAGCCAAACTGGCCAGGGCCTATTTCCTTTTTGATTTTCTGTCTGGTTGTGTTATCCATTACTGAAAGTGAGGTATTGAAAGCTCCAACTATTATTGCCGAATTATCTATTTCTCCATTCGATTCTGACAGTGTTTGTTTCATGTATTTTAGAGCTCTGTTACTAGGTGCATATAAGTCTATAATTATTATAAATTCCAGACAGATTTATCCTTTTATTTTTATAAAACATTCTTCCTTGTCTCTATTAATTTTTGTCTGATATTACTATAGTAATAGCTCTCTTTTGGTTATTGTCTATGGTATATATTTTTCCATGCTTTTATGTTTCATCAGTTTATGCCTTTAAATCTAATGTGTCTCTTATATACAGCATATAGGTGCATCATATTTTTTTATTCATTCTGCCTATCCCTATCTTATATTGAAGTTTTTAATCCATTTAACAATTTAATGTACTATCTGCAATTTTGCTATTTTTTTCTATGTCATGTCTTTTTTTGCCCTTCTATTCCTCCATTACTGCCTTCTTATGTGTTATAGATAGTGCTAGTGTACTACTTAAAGTCATTTAAAGTATCTTTTATTTACTTCTAAAGTTATTTTCTTGGTGGTTACCCTGGGGATTACAATTAATATCTTAACTCATAACTACAAGTTTCTTCTTGGAATTTAAATAGTCTAGTCAACATTAAGTCCAGAAAAATGAAAAGGAACTTTTCAACTCACAAACACTGTTTAGGTAAACACTGGGAGGTTGCTGTGATAATAAGTACCTGCCTTTGGTATGAACACTTACCTTGTCTAATAGTGCATTCTGCCACAATCTAAAGATACTGAGGTAACTTCTATCCCTGGCACCAAAAGATGTAAAGAAAAACTGAAAATAAAAAGAGTAGGATAATTTTAGTGACATTTTAAAAATGGGGAAAGTATCTGTCATGAAGCTCTGTTGGCATTTGCCATGGTCAAAGCAAACTAGTAAGTCACCACCGCCTACTTTATATACTCTTTTTAACTTTTTGTTACAATAGATGAAAAACAGGTAATTGGTGCATGGACAAGGTGTCTTTCACATTGTACCTTACAGCAAATACAATTTCATCAATATTTACTAGGGAAAGGAGCTTGAAATAGGTTGCTATTTATGTTCATCGTAGTTTAACTATGAAAATCAATCTAAATAGAGGAGAATCGAAGATGGCGGCATAGGTAAACACCGGCAAAGAGATGTGATTTGGTAGCCCTTTGAGACAAGTATAAACAAAGAATATGAAAAAATACAGTGGATTTCAGAGATAAATTAATTTTTAAGGATCGTAATTTTAAATTATACCATCTTTCACCCAGCTGGCATGGCTTAGTAGTTGAACATTGACCTATGAACCAGGAGGTCATGGTTCAATTCCTGGTCAGGGCACAGGCCCGGGTTGTGCCCTCATCCCCAGTGTGGGGTGTGCAAGAGGCAGCCAATCAATGATTCTCTCTCATCATTGATGTTTCTCTCTCTCTCTCCCTCTCCCTTCCTCCCTGAAATCAATAAAAATACATATATTTTTTTAAAAAATTATATCATCTTTCATAGTCTCAAATATCTAGAAATATCTAATCTCTGCTAATTATACATATAAAACACCCATATTAACAATAAACTTTGCTTTGAATTTTGTAGGAGAGAAATAGCATGTTTCAACCTATAAGTCTATGTTTGCATGTAACCCTATTTCGTCCTATGCATTTAAGTGGATTTTTGTAGTCACATTTTAATATAGGCTCTTATGAAAAAATCTGACAAGTGGCAGCACTAAATATAGTTTCTGTGTATCATCTCTTCCCTTCCCTTAGTTTGTGACTTTTTATGATTAAATGTTTATTTCCAGGAATGAGAAAGCTCAGTCCTATGTTTGATTTGTTAAATAAAATATCAAACTAATAATATTTCAGGTGTTACATTTTTCATTTTTCATACAAAGATGTTAAAGTATAATTTTCTAATTAACACATTGAAACCTTGCTATATAATAGTCTCCAAAAAGCAAACTTTTTATAACAAGAACATAGCTAGGAACTTTTCCAAATAGGATTACATACATAACATGTGACCTAATGTCACACATAGAGCCCTAATCAATTTTCCAGATGGGTATAGAAAGATTCTTCATATATCTCCACTAAGAAATGGCAGATATTACAGGTGGATAATATAAATGATGGCGGTTAAAGATAATTCCCATCCTAAAATATTATTTAAATGATTGCGTTTACTTGTATGCTACCCAAACCTCTGTTCAACAGAATCATTTGTTTGTATTACTATTATGCATAAAAAACAATTATAGAATTATTACTGTATTAGGAATAATAAGGATGGTTTGCTAATGCTTATTCTATTTCTTATAATGAAGAAATGATAAATATGGAATAAAGTTCTCTTTAAACTATAAAGTATAAAAAATGTTAGAAGTCATTTAACCATCAATAAGTATTTAAGTATACAGAAATCTAGCATGAAATTCAATGTACTTGATTAGATATCCATAATTCTAAGAAGAATTGCTTAGATTCCTAACACTGATGATTAGTATAGGCAGATTTTCTCCACATTATGTAATAAGGCAAAGGCAGAAAAGTTTTTCACCTTTTCACTGTCGGTAGCGATCTGGATAGCATTTGGGATGAGTCGAGCAGTTTTCTCCTTGGTCATGAAGGTTATATTTTTTAAAGCAATAGAAATCTAAATACACAAAAGGAAAAAAATTGCAAAATGGTTTTTTCATAATACATATAACACAAAACACCAAGTATTACATCAATTTAACCCAAACTAGAAAAACCTAAAGGAGTTCATATTAATTACATGTTTGTTTTGTTCTCAGAAAAACAGAGTCAGCAGTCAGACACTCTTCCTTTCAGTAATTTCCCGCTTCAACTCCTATCTCTAACATTAGGATAAAGTGTGAAAAGACATGTGGGTGTTCATGTTCTACACACACACACACACACAATTCAGACTGTGATAAGACATGATTTTGGCAGTCAAAAGGATGTATAATCAAGCTTTTTTCAATCTGAAATCTTTCTCCGACTGTATTACATATGTACACATGGAGCTCAAAGTATTAAGAAAAATATATTGCACACTTCTACAACACATATTGTGTTTACATATATACAAGTAGAGATATACAAATATATAAAAATTTACTTTAGGATTTAAAGTACATTACTTTTAGGAGTACTGTATTCATTTCTATCTGCAATTATTTGTATCAACATATCAAATCAAAATATGTCTTACTGTAGTTTCCCACTTGAAGATGTTGCTATGGAAACATAGCCAGTTTTCTGAAAGGTATAGTCGTCCCTGAAGCAAAATGTCTTTCTGAAGAGCACAAGCATAATCTACACAAATAAGGAACAGCTTAGTCACAAAAACATGGCAACTTAACAAATCTTATACTACTTTAGTACACAGAAAATCTTCATTCATTAGTTCATGCGTTCATTCATTCATTCATTCATTTACTCATTCGTATTCTTGGTGCACCAGACACTAGGGTTACCAGAAAAGGACCTTGGCCTCATGGAACACAGTCTAGAGGGGAAGGCATACAATAAACAAATAAATGTATAAGTATAATGACCAAAGTGTAGAGAAAGCTCTGAGAGAATATAACAAGGCATACATAGGTATGGGGGATGGGGCAGGTAGGAAGTTAATCAGGAAAAGTTTTCCAGAAAAAGTAATCTTTAAACTGAGACCTAAAGATCAATAAAGGGTCAGCGAGACCATGAGGGAACAAACAGTATTTACAAAGGCCCCATGGTAGAAAGAAGCACAGCACATTTAAGCTACTGTATACAAAGACAGATCTCGGGCCTGGAGAAGCTAGGCAAGGGAGGGTGTCTCAGCCCTGGCGAGCTGTGGACCTGGTGAGAAGCCCCTGGTAAGTTTTAAGTGGAAGGGGCATGATCAGCTGTATCTTTATTCACACTGGGAGAATGGATTCAGATAAATCGATTGGAAATCCAAGGGAAAACTGACGGTGGCCCAGACCAAAAGATGACAGTATTAAGAGAAAGAAGTAGGTAAATTCAAAAATATTAAGAGGTAGTACTGATGGAAAATTGGTGATTAATTAGATGTTGGACAAAGATGAGGGAGAGATAACTCCAACAAGTGTGTGTGTGTGTTAGTTTGTTTTTTTAAAGTTGATCCTCTCCACACCAGCATTAAAATCCAGCAAAATCAAGAGTACTGGTAAATGCCACTGCCTATAACAAGTTAATACCATGCTTCTAAGATTAAGATCTGACTCTTTGGCTAATGTAAATACTAGCAGTATTGCTAAATTACCAATTATACAAGATATAAAAGGCTGCTATGAGGAGATTTAGTTAAACTGATAAATTTTAAAACTATATATACAGTGATTAGGAATTTTAGGAAAACTTGTGGAGGTTATAAACCTCAAAATATTTAAGTTTAGTCATTAAAATTCTAAGCAAATACTGAAAATTGAGCAAAGTAATGCACTCTTTCAAAATGCTTCCTTCAGCAAAACAAAACTGAGATGCCACCAAACAAAAAATCCTAGCAAATAATTAAGCAGATTAAGTTACTCATTTACTAGTAAGCATTTCTAAAACAGAGATTGGGCTAAAGATCACCTTGAGGTGTCCTGAAGTTTTTATCGAAACCACTGACACATGTTTCTCAAATTTCACATCAGAAATATCCGGCAGACTTATTAAAACACAGCTTGCTGGGCTGCTCCCCCAGAGCTTCTGATTAAATGTCCGGGCTGGGATGAAGAGTTTGCATGTGAAACAAGCTCCCAGGTGATGCCAACATGGCTGCTCTGTGGACCACACTCTGAGGACCACTGCATTACTTTACATTAACTATGTACAAAGCCACAGTGAGCAACTGGATTATTTTAACTGGAGATTATTTAATATAGATTGGTTTTAAAAATGGTTTCCCAAAAACAGGTATATTTTATTTTAATAAATTTGTGCCTCAATAAAATTTAGTTTTCATATAATAGCTTTGTGAGAAATGACCAAAATATTTTAAAAGCAAAGGGATTTTTTTTTTTTTGCTCCCAATTTTCTTACTGATAAACAAGCTCATAATTATCAGCATTTCAGAAAGCAATAGTCTACCTGATTTGAGTCATGTTAACAATCTGATTCATATATAATGGAATAAGAAAGTAACATTTATCAAAAATCATTTTATGGCCTGGCCAGTGTTGCTCAGTGGTTGAGCATCAACTATGAACAAGGAGGTCACGGTTCAATTCCTGGCCAGAGCACATGCCCAGGCTTCAGGCTTGATCCCCAGTGGGTGGGCATGCAAGAGGCAGCTGATCAATGATTCCCTCTCATCATTGATGTTTCTATCTTTCTCCCTCTCCCTTCCTCTCTGAAATCAATAAAAAAAATTTCAAAAAATCATTTTATGGCCTTGGTCAGTATGCTCAATGGTTAGAACATCGGTCCTAGCACCAAAGGGTCAAGGGTTCAATTCCAGATCAAGGGCACATACCTGGGTTGCAGGTTAGATTTCCCAGTCCTGCGAGGGCCAACCAATCAATGTCAATTTCTCTCTTTCTCTCTTTCTCTCTTTCTCTCCCTCTCTCTCTCTCTTTCTCTCTCTCTCTCCCTCCTTCCCTCTCCCTCCCTTACACTCCCTAAAAATCAATGGAAAAAATATCCTCAGGTGAGGATTAACAAAAATAAAAAATCATTTTATGGGTTTTTATTACTTTATAATTGATTACTAAAAAGTTAGAATAAAATTAAGTAAATTCAATAAGCAACATAAGTCATTTTGATATGTGGTACATCAACTTACTATTATATGATCAATTTTGGCAAAATTGAATGATTCCAACTCAAAGATTATTTTAATAACTATAATGAAACAATGTATATAGTGGAAATATGTACAGTGTTATGGGAATACAGATGGAGTGAACCATATATTTCTAGAATAAGCTTGCATTATAAGTAGTATGCACATATTTAAATAAACAATATGTACTATTTAGTTTTACCAAAGAATTTAGGCATATCTACACTAATAAAAGAGAAACATGTAAATTGGTGTCACTCCGCTACGCTCACCAGCCAATTGGATTGGTATGCAAATTAACCCAACAAAGATGGCAGTTAATTTGCATACATAGGTGCCCAGTGGCCTGGGTTCCGGGAACATCATCAGCACCCAGGTCACTCCAAGGTAGGCCCTGTGTGGGCCCTGAGCAGCGTAGGAAGGGCCTGAGCCAGGGGGCTCCTGGGCAGGGGCAGAGCTGGCCATCGGAGCTGCGGGGGGCCCCTGCCCAAGCCTAAAGCCTCGGCCAGAGGCGTCAGGCCTGGGCGGGGCGGCGCGGGCATTCAGGAGGGTGGATGGGGGTCGATGCCTCTGGCCAAGGCGTCAGGCCTGGGGCGGGGGGCCCGAGCCGGCGATCAGTGTGAACTACAGAGGAAACACCTTTTCTGACCGCTCATTGGCTAAGCTACCTGTATGCCACTGGTAATATTCTTAGTAACTTGGGTAATAAGAATCCAAAAAGGTGATCTAGGGTTTTTCACCACACTCCTGGAGAAAAAAACAAAGGTCCGCTGCTGGAGGGCTAAGAAATGTCATATCCTGCCCTAGCCGGTTTGGCTTTGTGGATAATGCCTCGGCCTGCCCACTGCAGGGTCTGGGTTCAATTCTGACCAAGGTTGCAGGCTCCTCCCTGGCCGGGGCCCAGGTCAGGGCTCATGCAGGAGGCAACCAATCAAAGTGTTCCTCTCACTTTGATGTTTCTCTTTGTCTTTCCCTTTCTCTTCCACATTCTCTAAAAATCAATGGAAATATATCCTCAGGTGAGGATAAAAAAAAAAAAGGAAAAAAATTATTATTATATGAAAGACACATCTTGAAAATGCCTAAAGAAAGTTGTCATTTTTTCATGGTGAAGGGACTGGAGTCTGTGTTGATGAAAACACCTTGTTGGCTGCGGTGACTGGCAGTGGCTGCAGCAGCGGGGTGATGGGGCTGGTGCCTTCCCCTGATCAGCCTGGTCGCCTCCCACAAAGGGAGGCCAGACTGCTGCTTAGGCCCGCTCCCCAAGGGGAGCAGGGAGCGGGCCTAAGCCGTCAGTAAGACATCCCCTGAGGGCTCCCAGTATGTAAGAGGGTGCAGGCTGGGCTGAGGAACCCCCCGCCCCCCGCCAGTGCACGAATTTCATGCACCGGGCCCCTAGTCTATCCATAAGAGAGATGACAGTGAATTAAAAGAGTGTGGTTAGCGCAATGAACTTCTAATTCAAAGGTTCCAGGTTTGAGTCCTGGCAGAGTCACAGTCTTTGAATTGTGCACCTGAAACCTGTATAATTTTGTTAACCATTGTCACCCCAATTTAAAAAAGGAAAAAAAAGAATGTGTTTTTTTAAATAATCATTCAGGAAATACACATGCAAAAGTATTCTTTTCTAGCAGCAATCATTTTTGGGAGCCCAATAATATGAACATTGCTTTAAGAAGACCTTAGAACAACATTTTTAGGATTGTTTTCAGATTTCGTATTTAAATTACAAAAGATAACCATTGTCATGTTTCATACTTTAAATTTTTCATGTTATTTTTTTTTTAACCTGAGACAAATACAAATTGGAAAAAAAAAATGATTTTCTTCAGTGCAAAAAGGGAAAAGACCCCCATTCCCTTTTCTCAGAGCATTCTCTTTAGAAAACTTGTAAATATTTTCTCAGCTCCTTTGAGATGTGTGTGAATCTTTTTTGTTGTTGTTGTTGTTGTTAATTCTCACCCGAGGATATTTTTTCCATTGATTTTTTAGAGAAAGTGGAAGGAAGAAAGGAAAATGGAAAGAGAAACATCGATTGGTTGCCTCCTACCCCCACCTCAACTGGAGCCTGGGATTGAACCTAAAACCCGTGTGCATGCCCTTGACAGGGAATCAAAGCTGAAACCCTTTGGTGGGAGGGCCAATGCTCTAACCATTGAGCACACCAGCCAGGACTGGATGTGTACGAATCTTTTTAAAAGCAAAATAATCATCTGGCGTCATTTGTTGAAAAGACTAACTTATCGCCGAAACCGGTTTGGCTCAGTGGACAGAGCGTCGGCCTGCGGACTGAGGGGTCCCGGGTTCGATTCCGGTCAAGGGCATGTACCTGGGTTTCAGGCACATCCCCAGTGGGAGATGTGCAGGAGGCAGCTGATCGATGTTTCTCTCTCATCGATGTTTCTAACTCTCTATCTCTCTCCCTTCCTCTCTGTAAAGAATCAATAAAATATATTAAAAAAAAAAAGAAAAGACTAACTTATCTCCATTGAATATACACCTTTCTCAAAAATCAGTTCACAATATTTGCATGAATTTTTATGTGGGCTTTTCTTTCTGTTCCACTAATCTAAGTATCTATTATTTGGCAAATCTCATGCTGTCTTCATTACACTACCTTCATAATGTCTTGAAATCAAGTAGTGTGTAACCTCCAGCTTTGTTCCTTCTTTTTCAGAATTATTTTGGCTATTCTATTTTTTTTTTTGGATATTCCATATAAATTTTAGAATCAACTTGTTAATATCTATGAAAAAGCTCGCTGAGATTTTCATTTGAGGGAACTGAGATCTTAACAATATTGAGTCTTCTGATCCATAAACATTTATTGGATCTTCTTTTATTAATGTTTTCCAGTTGTCAGCATAGAAAGCCTGCACGTTTGTTAGATTTATACATAAGTACCTCATTATTGGGAGGCTCTGATATAAATGGTATTTGTAAAATTCAAATTCAAATTGTTTATTGTAAGTATATATTAATATGATTCTTTCTTTTACCTTCAATTAACTTTCAATCTGTGACCTTACTAAACTCGCCCATCAAATCGAGATTATCTGATATTTAATGAGATTATCTAAGATTTTCTACCAGAAAAGCAAATATACACACTGAAAAAATATCTAGAAAACTGCCCATAAAATATTAACGAAAATTATCTAGAGGTAGTAGGATCCCCAATGATTTAATATTTTTTTGTAAAGCTTTAATGTTTTATACAACACTGTGTCATCAAATTAATTTCTTTCAATAAAGCAATAATGAGTAAGATACTCATACTAGTATACAGGTTTCCATGAAAAGTATCTGACTTCAAGTTGACAAACTGGCAAGAAACATTTGCAACACACATGGAAAAAATCTAATTTTTTAAACATCTAATAAGCTACTTCAAATTAAGAAAAAGACAAATAACCACTAGAAAAACAAGCAAAGTTTATGAAGAGAAAGCTTCACAGAAAAAGATATATAAATAGATCCTCAACCTCCTTCTTAATTAAAGAAATGCATATTTAAACAATGACTATGCACCATTTCTAGCTACTAAATCTTGCTAAAGCAAAGTTCCTGAGGTATGGCAAAACAGGTACTTAGAAACACTGCTGATGAGAATAAACACTGGTACAACCCTTTTGGAGGATAACTCGGCAACAGTAAACTTTTTAAATGTTCATTACCCTTTTGCCACAATTCCACTTCATGGAATTTATCCTACAATGTGTGCACATGTGTGATAAAACAAACATAAAAGAAGATTCAAAGTAACATTAGTGGTAATAGTAAAAGACAGGAGCCAATAAAAATTCCATCATTAGGGGATTTGTTAAATAAATTATGGTACAAAATTCATATTGAATATTAAGCAACCATTAAAAGAATAAAGTGGATCCATAAGCAGTGCTAATAGAAAGAGCTCTAAACAAGATTCAAAGAGTAAGCAAGCACAGTGTGCTCCCATTTGAGTTCTCTTAGGAATATATGTATATTCCCCTGGGAATATAAACAGAAAATTTCTGGAAATATAAATAAGAAATTACTAAAGGTAGTTATCCCCCAGGAAGAAGGTTGGCGTGAGCTTCATTGGAAGGGCCACTCACCTTCACTATATGCCCTCTTGTAGAATTCGAACATTTTATTATGAGAATGTAGTACTTTTAAATGTTCTTCTTAAAAGTTGCTTTAATTTATTGTTATGATTTTTTAAATACTGGGCTTTAAAGTACTCTAGCTATCTAGAAATTCAGTTATGTTGTATTAAGTACTGCAAAAGAGTATCAGAAATCTGAGAAAGTTCAGTGGATAAATGGTTAAATAAAATATATACTAAAACAAAAACACAGTTCTATATTTTTATTGTAAAATATCTATATTAAGTTTATATTAAAAATAACGGTTCTTTCTCTCCTTGTGCACACATGCACAGAGGAAAAGCTATGTCAGGACACAGTGAGTAGGCAGCCACATGCAAGTCAGGAAGAGAGCTCTCACCAGAAAGTGACCTTGACAGCACTTTAATCTTAGACTTCTAGCTTCCAGAACCAGGTCTTCACCGTCCCCTGACAGAGCATTCAGCCTCCAATCTCTTCAACCTTTATTAAGTCTTCTACACTCCTACCAGAATGATCTTGAAAGCTAGCAAAATTTGCCCAGCCAGCGTGGCTAATTGGTTGAGCATTAACCTATGAACCAGGAGGTCACGGTTTGATACCAGGTCAGGGCACATTCCCAGGTTGCCCGCTCGATCCCAAGTGAGGGGCGTGCATGCAGGAGGCAGCCCATCAATGATTCTCTCTCATCATTGATGTTTCTATCTCTTCCTCTCCCTTCCTCTCTGAAATTTAAAAAAAATAAATAACGCACTTTTGTAAGAAAAATGACTAAAATCTGCTCCTAAAACATCTATATCTGAAAGATTACACGAATAATGATATAGCCCTAGAAAATTTTATAAAATTGCTCTACAACCTGTTAAGGAGTATCTTTTATTTGGGGAAAGATAATATATATTGAACATCAAATTTAAATTTTTCTTACAAAACCATTTGAAAGAAGCACCAGTAGAAATTGTGACAAATCATTTCCCTTTAGTTCTATTTTCTTAGCCATTATTTAATATTTTTATAAGTCAGACATCACCCCTCCTCAAATTACAACTTAGTTTTACATTGTGTAATGATGAATAACATGCTGCTTATATTGAAAAACATTTTCTGTCTAGCACAAAAGCTGTAATTTTCTAGAGTATTGTCACTCATCAGTTCTATTTTGATAATGAGGTAGTAAAGTGGTTTTCTGCAACTTCCTGTCTTTCTTACCTGCTATCAGCTTCTCTGTGTCAGGTAGTTGTGTGAACTGTCTTCTGTATTCCTCATTCCTGTCTTTATAGGTGGAACTTGAAATCTGTAACAATGAAAAGATTAAATTTTTGTTATACTCATTAAAGGAACTGAAATGTAGCATCTTAGAAATACATTTTAAATGAACTTTAAAATAATATGCTTTTGATGCAACATTTTGTATGTCTTTGGATGAAAAACCACATAAATAAACATTTCAAAGAACACCAAAAGGAAGTAAAGGAAGTTACCAGCATGATGGAGTGAAGAGTTTGGCAAATCCTCTCTGCAAAAGCAAATTTATAGCTGGGAAAAAACTGTCAAAAAACAATCACCTCAGTCCTGGCCAGTGTGACTCAGTTGGAGCGTCATCCCGTGCACCAAAGGGTTGAGGGTTCAGTTCCCTGGACACATATGGTAACCAGGTTTTTGTGTTCGATCCCCAATCTGTCGTGCAGGAGGCAACCAATTGTGCTATTTCTTTTACATTGATGATTCTCTCTCTCTCTCTCTCTCTCTCTCTCTCTCTCTCTCTCTCTCTCTCCCTCTGCCTTCTCTCTCTCTCTAAAAATCAATGGAAACATACCCCCCACCGTGATGATTAAGAAAAAAAAATCACCTCAAATTATTGGAAGCTGACCAAATGCATACAATAAACTGAAAAATAATTGTTCATGAAAATCTACTGAACTTGGAAATACTAGTAGTAGAGGTCTGGGGCACTGTTTCATTAGCCAGCTCCCACTACTCTTCCTACCCTATCAGTTAAGTCAGTGCGGTAGTTCTCTGAGGGTAGAACAGGTCATGAAAACTAGCAGCTTTGCTGAGAGAGTGGATTGAGTTCATTCTGAGTGAAAAGCAGAAAATCCTAGGCCCAAAAGTGCAAAGGAAAACTCTGAAGCTATCAAAGTGAATGTAGATTGTAGATCCAATGGGGGCAAGAAACAAGCAGACTGGCAGATTAGCAGGGGACTTAACAAAGAGATCTTGGGGGGAGAGACAGCCATAAGTAGGCTTGATAAACATTCAATGTATTTCTGGCTGAGCAGGGGCTGCATGATATGTAGCAGAGATTTAGAGAGATCCCAACTATCCACACATTCCTGGCTAGACTCATAATAAGCCTCAGGGGAAGATAAAAACTGAGGCACACTTGAAAATGGTCTGAATTTTAAATGCTTTCCCCAATTTACACACAAATCTGTCAGCAGAAGAGAAAAAAACACCTATTACTGGCTCTATGTATTTGAGCACAGTTTTGACCAATCATTGACTGGCATAAAGGATGACTCCTGGGAAGGCATCTTTAAATAAAAACAATAATAAACAGGGCAGAGACATTTGTTGCCACATGCCACAGGACAAACTGATTTCACAGATTTATTATAGGTAAGTTAATAAACAAAAATCAGCAATGACAAGCTTTAGGGGCAGAGAGGATGCAATCAGAATCCAGAGTTGCTACAATATATTATCTAAATTGTACAATTATAAAAAAAGTATAAAACATACAAAAGAAAACAGAAAAATGTGGTTCATAATAAGGAAAGAAAAAAGCAAGCAATTGGCTCTTTCAGGGTCCCCAGATACTAGATTTAGCAGACAAAGACATCAAAGCAGTTATTATAAACTAGAGGCCTGGTGCACGAAATTCGTGCACGGGAGGGGGGTGTCCCTCAGTACGGCCTGCACCCTCTCCAATCCGGGACCCTGCCGGTTTAGGCCCGATGCCTGCAGGATTGGGCCTAAACCAGCAGTTGGACATCCCTCTCGCAATCCGGGACTGCTGGCTCCTAACCGCTCAACTGCCTGCCTGCCTGATCACCCCTAACCAGCTCTGCCTGCCTGCCTGCCTGATCGCCCCTAACTGCTCTCCCCTGCTGGCCTGATCTCCTTAACTGCTCTCCCCTGCCAGTCTGATCTCCCTAACTGCTCTCCCCTGCCAGCCTGATCTCCCTAACTTCTCTCCTGCAGGCCTAATACCCCTAACTGCTCTCACTTGCTGGCCTGATCACCCCTAACTGCCTCTGCCTCAGTCCCACCAACGTGGCTTTGTCCAGAAGGACATCCGAAAGGTCTCCCAGAAGATGTCCGGTCTAATAGCATACCTTTTTATTAGTATAGATATATTCAAAGAACTAAAGAGAACCATGCTTAAAGAATTAAAGGAAAGTTTGGCAACAATGACTCAACAAGTAGATAATTTCTACAAATAAATTTTTTAAATATATTTTTATTGATTTGAGAGAGAAAGGGAGAGGAGAGAGAGATAGCAACATCAATGATGAGAGAGAATCATTGATCGGCTGCATCCTGCATGGCCCCTACTGGGAATCAAGCCCAGAACCCAGGCATGTGCCCGGACCAGGAACTGAATTGTGACCTCCTGGTTCATAGGTTAACACTCAACCTCTGAGCCACACTGGCCAGGCAATAAAAAAAATTTTTTTTAATTTTTTTTAATAATATGTTTTTATTGATTTCAGAGAGGAAGGGTGAGGGAGAAAGAGATAGAAATAGTAATGTGAGAGACACACATCAATTGGTTGCCTCCCAACCAAGGCCAGGGATCAAACCTGCAACCCAGGTATAAGCCTTTGACCAGGAATCAAACCCTCAACCCTTCAGTGCATGGGCCATCGCTCCAACCACTTAGCAACACCAGCCTGGGCTATATTTTTAATCAAAATGAATTAAAATGGTATCCTAAATTATGTTGTACACCTGAAACTAATATAAAATAATATTGAATGCACACTGTAATTGAAATTTTTTTTAAAAATTTTAAGTGGTATCCTAAAAAATATTTGGCACATAAAGAGAGAATTAAAAGGGGAAAAGAAGACAAAAAAGATATGAAACATTGAGAAAACAAATAGCAAAATGGCTACTCACAAATACAACCATATTGTAACTACATCTACACTAATAAAAGAGAAACATGGTAATTAGCGTACGACCGCTACCCTTCCCATTGGCTAATCAGCATATCCTTATGCAAATTAACTGTCAGCCAAGATGGCGGCCGGCAGCCATGCACTGAAGCGAACAGGGAGTCTTGCTTGCTCCAGTGATGGCGAACTCCAATGTTCCCCGCCTGACTTGCCGGCCTCTCAGATGCAACTCTAAGCAACTATGTTGCAAATATAGAAGCTAAACAAAACCCTAGAAACCGGCTTTC